AAGTTTAAACTAATTAAAATAAATAGGTAATAAATGTTGTATTAATATATTTGAATAATTGAATTAGTGTGTGATGAAAAAATATTAATCCATTTGTTTGGATTCATTTTTTAATTTATTTTTTTAATCAGAACTCAGTTATTATCAAAATGCCGATGAAGTTCCATTGAATATGGGCTATTTGATACCATAAATCGTTCCCAAATCATATATTCATAATTTATCTATAAATTTAAATATTCATCAACTCAGATATACACTATTACTAACCACTATTTCATTAATTGATAGATCAAATTATAATCATTATCATCTTGTTTATTTCTATATATGTAGATTTTTTTTCCCAAATAGGTTATTTACTGTGTGATTATTGATTTAGGATATTCCAACTTTTCACATAATATTGTACTAATTTAGGCAGAAAAAGGAGGTTTTATTTACTTTGTAATCCAATTTTCGATTAATAAAATAAATAACAAGGAAATGCTACAGTTCTGTTACGGAACTAGCTTTGTAACCGTAAAATCATTATGTAATCGTCGTGAATAGTTGATCTAACGGTTAGAAACACTAAATAATTTTGTAACTAGACGGTAGAATCTCTAAAAAAAACCCAAATAGTTGTTGCAAATGACGTTTGATTATTTCATACGTGGCTTTTATGCGGAGGTGGGGCCTAGGGCTGCAAACGAGCCGAGCGGCTCGCGAGCTGCTCGCGAGCGCTCGAGTCAAAGCTCGACTCGAACTCGAGTTTGACCGAACTCGAGTCGAGCTCGAGCGGCTCGAGCACGAACTCGAGTCGAGCTCGAGCCCATATTTTGTCTTGTCGAGCGGCTCGTCGAGCGGCTCGAATACATGTTAAAATACTAAAATACCCTTTATATATATGGTAATATAGGTCTTTATTGGTAATTTTACCTTTCTACTTACAATTTTTTGAGCCGAACTCGAGTCGAGCTCGAGCATTTTGATTTCGAGTCGAGCTCGAGCTCTATTGAAATTTTTTATCGAGTCGAGCTCGAGCCTAAAAAATCGAGCTTGACGAGCTCGAGCTCGAGCTCGAAGAGCTAAAAAAAAAAGTCAATCCTGCTCGATAAGACCAATGCTCGACTCGGCTTGGCTCGTTTGCAGCCCTAGACTGGGGCCGACAGGCGACAGCTGTCCACACTGTATGCTTTTTTCAGTGGCAAAAATGTAATATGCGCCAAAATCAAGGGCATTTGCACTGCACGAAATGCCGCAAAATTCAACCTACGAAAGCACAAATAGAAACACACTTCTTTCTGTGTATCAGTTTCTCTCTTTACCAAAAGAGTCTCTTTTTCCCATTGAACGCACAAAATTTCCATTTTTTGTGGATAATCTTTTGTTTTGTGTATAAATATCGAAAATTGTATCTATCTTCACCATCTTTACGCACAGAAGATCACGACGAGGACGGAGATTCTGAGGAAGGTAAATGTGTGTGTGTGTGTGTGTGTGTCAATGTGTTTTTGATTCAATACGGGGAAAACAAGAAAACAGAGCTAATCAATTTTAAGGATGGTGATTTTTGTCGTGACCCAATTTTTCTAGTAGAACCCTAGTTTCAATTCTTTCTTTTTTTTTTTAGGGAGTGCAGGTTTAATGGAGTCGCCCACTCGGGGTTCTGAGCTCATCACCCTGAATTCGAAGTGAGCTTCGATCCCTTTGTTTTCATTTTATTTTTCTGTTGCTTTTATGCGGCGTTTGTTTCTCTTTGATGATGACGATGAATGGTCGTTCAGGAAAAGGGTTTTTCCTGGTGGAAGCTCCTCGCCGGGGATTAAAGAGGTGGAGGGTTTGGAAACGGCGCCGTCCGGTAAAAGAATTGCTGCTTCCTCTGACCGTGAAGAGGTTCACTTTTTCACCTTTTTTCGTGTTTTTCTTGAAATGGAATCATATGGATCTGTGTACCGTTTTCTGTTATTTGAACTGTTTTGGTGTGGTTGCTGAATCTGGGCATGGCTGATTTGATGAATGTAGCATGTTTTCCTTAAGCTTCAGCTGTTTATTACAGTTATTTTCATTTTTTGTTTTCTTGTATGGATGTTTTTGTTTGTACTGGTAAAGCAGATGTGTGAGCATTTGATAATGGAAAAAAAAAAAAAAAGATTGATGTGGTTGGACTGGATTGTATGGATACATTGTGAGTGAAAGTATCTAAGTAATTTATGTTTGGTTTTAACCGAGAACACCAATGGTTTTTAAAAGAGATGGCGTTTGTGATTGGTGAAGAACGAGAATCTAGGGACTAAAATAAGGCGAGTTTAAAGCTTTAAATGAGGACCTGATATGAATTTTTGTCGTGGTCAGGTAAGATTCTAATCCTTTTCAATTGGTCTAGCGAATGTTCATGACTCCACGTGTTTTGAATGTAGTGAATTTTGGGCGCTATTATTGCAGCGTTTGTTTGTTTGTTTGTTTTCTAAATCTATCATTTTAAATTGACTTTTAAGTCATGTATCTTGATGACAAATTATGGTGACTTTTACGTTATCGGTTGTGGGAGACGTGTCATGCAGATCACGTACTTTTTGTAATTCGAGTCCCTTATAAAATTGTCGTTGCATGTCTATTACATATTTTAGTTGGAAATCTTACCAACTCAGTAATTCGTGGAATAGTTACCGAATGGGGAGAAAAAAGGTTTGATTTTGTGCATATTTACCATTCATGCATTTATAATGAAACAATTCACGTAGCTTAGCACGTGTAAAAGGGTTGCTTGTATTACAAAAGAATTTACTTGTTCTCTATTGCCATTCCATTTTAGCCTTCCCAAATCTTGTAACTATTATCTGAAAGATTTGCCACTTGACGCTTCATAGCTTCTAATTTACCGAATCTTTTTGAAGGTTGCTGATTTTCCTGAAATAATAGATATCGATGTAGAAGTAGAAGAAGACTGTAAAGATAATGGTCAAGCTGACGTAAAAGGCAAAGGAAAGGTATATTATCTAACTATCTTTTGCGACATTTTCAAGCCATTTTCTTGATTATATTTGTGCTGCCATAGTTTACTATATTTGTTCCCCTTACACACTTAGGAAATCGCATCAAATATTTCACCAGACTTCAGTAGCACAAAAATCAAGAACGAGATCACTGATTCAGATGAATCCGACTCTAATATCTTTTTCGGAGAGGATGATTGGATAGACTCGTACTATGACGACATAACATTCGATGAACATTCAAATGAGGCTTTGCAATCACAGTTCGATCACATGGACTTACCGCCAGGTGTCGAAGTCTCCTTTCCCTGGCTGCAATGCAGCTCTCCTCAAAACAGTACAATTAATACTTCAAATAATTCGAGTCTGAAAATCGACTCGAACGTGCCCAGTCATGTTCTTGATCCGAGCTCGTCTAGCTCGAAGTCGAAAAAGGTTAGGCAGGTGGGCAGCAAATGTAAAACAGGTAACCCACCTGAGATTGATGATCTGTGTTACTTAGGAAAGAAGAAGAAAAAAACAAGGGCATTGTCGTCAAAATTGAGTTCTACGGGATTTACGTTCGGAAGTTCTCGTGGGCCCAGGCCAAAAGATTTCGTGAATGATCAGATTGTAGAGACACCTGCTGATGTCCATAAGGATTTGGATGAGATTAAGAGGAACTTTGAAGCATTTGAGAAATTTGATACCGTTGAGGATTATTCGGATCACCACTTTGCCAATATTAGTTCTTCGAATCAGGTGTGTGCTTCTAAACAAAGATTTTGTTCCTGTTGGTCGGCTTTTAAAATTTCAAATAAGTTGACTTTGTTCCTGTTTTACGAACTGGAAAAATGATTTTTTCAGCCTGAACTCGTGAATTGTTCACCCTTTGTTATATATAATTGAATGCTTTTGAACTCAGATGGGTGAATATTACTGGAATAGGCCACCTAGTCTAGCTTGATGGTCATAGGAAAAATAATCTACTGCATACTTTATAAACAGCCTACTTCAAGAATATTCTTTTAATTGTTAATGTCAGGTGAATCCACCGAAGAACTGGACCAAGAAAATACAGCAAGAGTGGAAGATTCTAGAGAAAGATTTGCCTGGTCATCCTTTTAAATATTTCATGCGCCGAATTTCCCTTTTAGAATTACATTTCTCCATGCTAGCTTTTTGATACATAATCGAAAAAAGAAACATTATGGCCTTGTTGTTTGTTTTTTCCGACTACCTATTTCCATTTTTCAACTATTTATTAAGGTGAATGATTGTTGGTTTCAACTTTTTCTTTTTCACGTATCATTTTTCATGCATAAAAAATGATCTCGAACTGTCCCTCACATTTCCTTTTTAGAAGTATCATGTAGGTTAAATAGTATTTTAAAAATTAAAAAAAAAAAATCATTGCTCTCAAATTTCATTTGCTAAAACTCGAAACTGGAAAGTAAATGGAAACAAAACCATACAAGGCCTATGTGTATATAGTTCCCATTTGACAATTTATTCATTCTTATTCTCATTTTCACTTTCATTTACTGTCAACATTAACAGATACAATATTCGTGAGGGTCTACGAGTCCAGAATGGATCTATTGAGAGCCGTGATTGTGGGAGCTGAGGGCACACCATATCACGATGGTCTCTTTTTCTTCGATGTTTGCTTCCCATGCAATTACCCCAATAGCCCTCCCGTACGTTATTCTTTACAAATATTCAAAATGTCTTTCAAATTCTTTTCCAGTTGATTTACGTTCGGTCTAAATTTACTTCTAATATTTTTTACTGTTCGGCAGAAAGTCCATTACCACTCGGGTGGCCTTCGGCTAAATCCCAACTTGTACTGTTGTGGTAAAGTGTGCCTGAGCCTCCTCAACACTTGGGGTGGAGGCAAAGAAGAAAAGTGGCTGCCAGGTGTCTCGACCATGCTGCAAGTCTTGGTATCAATCCAGGGACTAATCCTGAATGCCAAACCTTACTTCAACGAGCCTGGATATGCAAAAATGAGTGGCACTAAGTCTGGAGATACAAGATCTTTGGAATATAATGAGACCACGTTCATTTTTTCCCTGCGAACTATGGTGTACACTATGAACCGGCCTCCAAAGGTAAAACAATATTATTTGAATAATAATACTAAGGCTATGTTTGGTAAAACTAGTTGATAAGCTAGTTTATAACTTATAAGCGATTTTCGAGCTTATGACTTATAGCTGAAAAGCTAGCTAGCCTATATGATAAAAGTATTTGGTAAAATTAGCTGAAATAAAAATTGCAACGAGCTTATTTGAAACACTACCTAAAGAAGTTTATGAGATAATCTCGAGCTTTATAAAAAACTCGTTCTACCGAATGAAACTTATTTGAATACAGTAAGCTTATAAGCTAACCAAATAAGCTATAAGCTAGCTTATTTGGTTACCAAATCATAATATTGTTGATAGAGCTTATTTGTTCCACTTTTCACACATTGAGAATAAAGTAAATTTGGCACCATCAAATATTACATTTTTATTGTGTTATTGTTGACAATCGTTCATAATTCGAAGTTACCAATTGAACTTCCTGATTCTGTTAAAAAAGGCACATAGGGAACTCATTTCAGATAAACTTTCTTTTGAACAATTCTATATTGACCTTTCACCGAATGCAACAAAATGGTCAATTTTTGAATAATTTGAGGTGCTCCATGCTTACGATACTCTTTATCTTAAAAAAAATTACAAAAACTTCCAAACGTTAGAAAACCATCGACCTTTTGAGGTTCTTGAAAACAAAAAGTGACTCGACCAGTTGTTTTCTGCAGCACTTTGAAGCTTTGGTGTCTGGCCACTTTGTTAACCGCGCCCGGGACATTATGGTCTCGTGCAAGGCCTACTTGGGTGGGGCCCACGTGGGGTCCCTTGTCCCACCGGGTGGTGGTGGTGTCAAGGAAGTGAATGAGGGTAAAAAGAGATGCTGCTCCCGGACTTTCAAGACCAACTTAACCGGGTTCATTATCACTCTCATAAATGCATTCACTAGAACAGGTGCTAAGGACTGTCACGAGTTTCTGCCCTTGGCCAGTAATGGGCTTGGGCCAGCCGAGGCCCAACACAATCACGGGCTTTCGCCCTCGGCAAAGACGGTTGGCGGGCCAAGCGGTCCTCCGGAGAGTCACGGGCTTCCGATCATGGGCAATAATGGGGGTGGGCCAAGCGGGCCTCAGGAGAGTCACGACGAATTTCCTCCCTTGGCCAAGAAGAGGGCCAGGCGGGTGGGGTCTCGATCCTTGAAGGTGAAGCAAAAGATAGGTCTGAATGGTGATTCTTGACTTGGTTTTGTGAAGTGGAATTTTGACTAATGACTGGTTATGGGTTATTATTATTATTATTATTATTATTATTATTATTATTATTATTATTATTATTATTATTACTGGTGAAGGGTTTTATAGTTGTTTTCTGGGTGATGTTTTGATATTAAGAGTTAAGATAGATGCCCTTTGTTTTGTTTTGAACTAAAGAATTATTTTGAACTAAAGAAAGTTCAAATGTGAATGGGATGTTGGAATGAGAGACTTTTGTTTAATTCTCTGTTTTCCTGTGTACCTATTAATAATTACAAATTATGAAAATGCTAAGCCTAAGCTCTAACATGAGACAAGTTTGACTCATTGGTTGAAGTTACACATAATTTTACTCCTTTTAACTATGAAATCTAATTATTTAAAATAGACAATTACATTAATTTTCAATATTTATAGAAATAACAATTTACATTATTTTTTAAAAAATGATATGTTATACTTTTTAATTGACCAAAAATACACATGTGTCATTCTTTAACTGCCAGCAAAATGAATTAAATAATCGATTAATTAACTATTTAGTTTGAGAAATATAATTTGATTAGTTTTTCAATGAAATAATCGATTAATTAACTATCTAAATTGAGAAATATAATTTGATTAATTTTTTAAATAAAATAAAAGATGATAAAATTAATTTTAATATGAAATTTTAACATCCCCCTATATCCCCCTATATACTAAATCCAGAACGCGTTGAGCCTACGTGGCTGCTTCTGGTACTTCGAAATCCTATGTGGCAAAATTACATGTTTCGTTATTAGGTTTGGGTAAATTTTAATTTAATTCCAAAACAAAAATAATTAGATTCAGATTACCATAAATATGTTGATTATTGATGGTCATGTTACATGTATTAATTGCATTTTAATATCATTCTTTATTTTTATTCTTTTTTTGGTACACGGACCTTCCGGTTTCTGGATCCACATGGGAACCGACTAATCCGGAATCGAGCCGGGTAGGACCACGAGGGCGGCAAAGCTCTCCCTCAAGAGTTTTAACACTGCATTCTCAGGGCTCGAACACGAGACCACTGGTTAAGCTGGAAGAGACTCAAACCATCTCATCCAAGCGCTCTTGGATTAATATCATTCTTTATTATAACTATTGAATTGTACATATATTTTAAAAGTTAATAACTGTTGTATTTTTTATTAGTTTTACATATGTAATATATCAAATTAATCTTCTTTTGATGAGCTTCGATTTAACATCCATATTGTATGTATAAAAAAATAATTTATATTTATCTTTATGACAATAATAAAATTATTTTTAATATTAATTAGAAAAATACAATTATTTATAAACCAATATATTTATATTTCAAGTAGTTATATGATATAAGTTAGAAAACTAATATAATATAACACATGTAAGTCATAAGTAACACATATCATTCTAAAATATATAGTAATATATTTTATTTTATTTTGTAAAAAAGTAAACTAAATTTAATATAATTTTCTCATTAATTTTAAAATTTAAAAATAATTTTTTAACAAGCACCCGTGTATTCATTTTATTCATTTTAGCTCACATATTTATCAATTATAACTATACTATTTCTCTACCATACCACCATTAATTAGCATTCCTTAAACCACATCACTTTACATTTAAATAATTGATTTTTCCAATATTGGTAAATCAATGAAACAAATAGTTAAAATGAAAATATATCCAATCACAATATTAATCAACCTTTTCTCAATGTCCCTTTTATTTAACTATAGATCACATAAGATAAGACCTAAACCATCTGTGCGTAAATGTAAGGTATTTATTCAAAAAAAAAAAAAAAAGTAACAAAAATACCCCCCTATATATTAATTCAAAAGGAAAAATTTCACTTTTGGTACCCCAAGTTTACATACTTTTCGGTTTTGATACCCATGATTTCAACTTAATCATTTTCAGTCACTCAAATATTCAAAATCCATCATTATTGCCCAAATCGTCAGTTGACCGTGAGTCAATTGACGGTCACCTTCTATAGCCGGTTGCTTTCTCCAAAGAAACCTAAATAATCGGTTTCCCCTAATTTCTCCTCGTCCAGACCTAATTGAAATTAAAAAACACGCTAACATTTTACGTGTAGAAATTTCTTTCATTTATCGCAATTGAGTGGGCAATCGAGTGGTGTATTGGTGTATTGTGAGCATCCATATCAGATTTACTACGAGCATATTCAGATTTGCGACGAGCATATTCAGAACTGCGACGACCCATGTAACTCATGGCAAGAAGGATTATACATGGGTTGCAACCTCAATACGGCAAGTTTTTTCATTTCAGTTTGTCATCAAATTTTCGAATTAATGGAAATTATATGGTTAATTTTGAGGGATGTCCATATTATCTGATTATGGTGAGAGTTCCCCTAAAAATTAGGGTTTTTTTTTTCAGTTGAACAAATTAGGGCTTTTTCGATTATCCGTGATAGATGCATACTCTTTTTCAATGGAAAATATATTGTTAATTTTGATGTATCCATATTATCTGATTGTGGTGAGAGTACCCTAAAAATTAGGGTTTTTTTTTTCAGTTGAACAAATTAGGGGTCTTCAAGTAGACTTTTTCTCCACAGTTGCAGGCCATCTCCATTGGAGCACCATTAATCTCGGAGTTCCAGCGAGAGTTCCAACTTCCTCTTGAACTGCTCATGGTGCAAAATTGCAAATACTTCAAATTTTTTTTCCCTCACTTTCGGCGGCTTTGTGGTGCTGTAATGGAGATGCCTGCCATTTTCTATCTTGCAGAAGAAAACGACCTGCTAGAGAAGGTGACCGTCAGTTGACTCACGGTCAACTAACGATTTGGGCAATAATGATGGATTTTGAATACTTGAGTGACTGGAAATGATTAAGTTGAAATCATGGGTATCAAAACCGAAAAGTATGTAAACTTGGGATACCCAAAGTGAAATTTTCCCTAATTCAAAATGTGTTGAGCTTAGGTGGCAGATTCTCATGCTTCGGACTGACATGGTGAAAATCTATGCTTGGTGATGTTTATATTATTTTTGTTTTGAAGTTAGGTTTGGTATTAAATATAAATAATTTTACACATATATTTATTAACTCAACCCGATGTTGTACATGAGTGTTAATACTAATAAACTCTTATTAGAAATTGAGCTTAGTACAAATACGAAATACTTGAAGAATCCATAGACATACATTATGGACAGCCCACAGCCACAGGTCCACAAGGACCACAACCGCGAACTCATGCCCAAAACTCCGACCCGACCCGATACATTCGACCCATATCCTCTTCGTATAAAAACCGGGCGTGAAAATAAAAGGACACCCCAATCCACGGCCAGCTTTCGCCCGTGCGCGCCTTGCTGCCCGCTAACTGCAATGGGAATACTCTACGAAACCCTAAACCCTCTCGGCGCCGCCGACGACGCAACGCCGTCGCAGTCGGAGTTGGAGACCTACGTTGTCCTACGCAACCAGATCTCCCTCGACGCCGATGGAAGTCCGTTGCTGGAATCCCCCGCCACGGATTACTTCTCCCTCGATGCGAACGAAGCGGAGGACAGGGGGACTGTCCTACGCAACCAGATCTCCCTCGACGCCGATGGAGGTCCGTTGCCGGAATCCGCCGCCCCGGAAGTAGATTACTTATCCCTCGATGTGAACGAAGCGGAGGACAGGGGGACTTCGGTTCCAGCAACTCCTCCTCCGCCGTCGCCTCAGTTGGCTGGAAATTCGATTCCGGCGGTGGAGAGGACTCTGGAGGGCAACTGGTTTCGCGCCAATTGTCGCTCCAAAAGCCCAATGCTTAGGCTCCACAAAGGTTCTTAATAAGTTGTATGCTCTCTCTTTTTTTTTTTTTTAGTCCAAATAAATATGTTTATAGCAATGTACGGTTTTTCTATGATTTTTTGGTAAGTTAACGTTTAGGTTGCTTAGAACACTGTTGGCTGTGAAATTCAGCTTGCTTAGGGGAAAAAAAAATATTAAGTATTAGATTAGGTTGTTTGATACCTTCAGTTATGCTTTATGTGGGTGATTTTGGTTTTGATATGTCCAGAGATACTTGATTTTTGTGAGTTTTTATCACCAACTCCTGAGGAGCAAGAATCTAGGAATGCAGCTATAGAATCTGTGTCTGATGTTGTCAAATATATCTGGCCTAGTGCTGAGGTACAGTGGAATTTTCATGCTTGCATGCTCGTTTGTTGTGGAGAAAGGTCAGTGTGGAGAGTGTCATTATAACTTACCATGCCTTTTGACATGCAGGTGGAAGTTTTTGGATCTTTCAAGACAGGGCTTTACCTTCCATCTAGTGATATCGATGTAAGGTTATTGTTTTTTTATTAGCTTGTATTGAAGAAAGATTCTCCATTTTTATATCCTGTTATGATTGATTCATAAATGTCCTTAACTTGAAGGCCCATCTGCTTATGAATGTGATGGCAGTGTATTCTAACAGTGTTACCAAATGGCGGCCATGGTGGCCGCAATGGCGGAGTTTTGGCAAAACGCCATGTACCGCCATCCGCCATTAATAACACTGTATTCTAACAGGCAGTGGTCCACACAGTTCAGTTGATTTCTGGATTCCTTCATTAAGTGATTAATTTAGTAGGATTTTCCTGGAGTACAAGTGTTAACTGTTTATTGTTGAATATGCTAGAACAAGAAGCGAACACTAAGTTATCAAGTTTGGTCCTGACCTTGCGTTTGCTTGCCACATAATTTTGTATGATACTTTGGCGGCGCTATGTAATCAAACTTAAATTACCTTGGTGGCATTTAGTAAGAATTGGTGCTTTCAGGTTAAACCGAGTAGTAAGTTCTTCTCACATCTGAATATAATGTGATGCTGCTGTTGTCACAGGGTATTTTTAAGTTAAAATAAGTATATTTGACAGTGCTTCACGACTTCGAAATAGGTTAGAATGTGTGATGCGTAAGTCTTGCTGGGGATATCTAGATTGCAGTTGTTATTTACCTTAACCCTTTCCAAAGGGAGGATTTCTAAAGCATTTGCTCATATTGTTTATTGTTTGGAGGATTTGCTCTTGTTCTTATAACTTTCTTAATTGATAAAATTATTCATTTGAGTAGGTTATGTAAATTAAGCATTATAATTATCTTCGGAAATTTGACTCTTGTCAGGTTGTCATATTGGGTTCAAATGTTAGAAGTCCTCAGATGGGTCTGCATGCTCTCTCTAGGGCACTATCTCAAAGAGGAATTGCAAAGAAGATACAGGTATCTATTTTAGCGTGTTGGACTTGGAGCCTTCTGTCCAGGATCTGGTACAGGAAAACCAGATTCACAAGAAACAAATCTATCTTGTTATATTTACTTGATCGACCTGGTGATAAGTAATAAGTGATATCAATGGGAGTTTAAACCATAGATGTTAGGACTCAATCGAGAGGGACCTGAATCTCAAAAGAATAAGATAATTTCTGGCATACCCTATTCATTGTTCTTTTCCATTAGTTTATATTACAGAGACAATAGAATCACATTAATAAGAAAGTAGGATATTATACAATTATGGTTTGTATTCTGTAATAATAGGTATTACGGGGACGATAGAATCACATTAATTAGAAAGTAGGATATTATGCTATAATGGTTTGTATTCTGCAATAATAGGTCATTGCAAAGGCACGTGTACCAATTATCAAATTTGTGGAAAAGAAAAGTGGCATGGCATTTGATATAAGGTTAAGGCGAATTGGTTTCTTTCAAATTACATCCCCCACCCCTCCACCTCTCTTTATGTATATATATATATATTTTTTTAATTCTTTTCCATTGCTTATTTTACTTAGAATTAATATTTATTTTGTAACAGTTTTGATGTTGAAAATGGGCCAAAAGCTGCAGAGTATATTAAGGTGTACACTTCTTCTCCTGCTAGATTTATTCATTTTATTTGGTCATTCTACAAAGCTAATTTATGGTGGATGTCTGCATATTGTTACATCAGGATGCAGTATCTAAATGGCCACCTCTAAGACCGTTGTGTCTAATTTTGAAAGTCTTCTTGCAGCAAAGAGAGTTGAATGAGGTGGTGATGTCTTTCTTTTTACTTTGTTCCTTACAATAAAAATAATAATAAAAAAAAATGGAAAAGCTATTACCCTGGCATGTTTTTTAAATAGTAAATACGAAACTTTACTATTCTTCATCAGGTGTACACAGGTGGAATTGGATCTTATGCTCTTCTTTCTATGCTTATAGCGATGTTGCGGGTAAGTATACTGGTGCATAACCACTTAGAAATGTCTGTTTCATGCAAATAATCATGTATTAATGAAGTTGTGCCGTATTAGTTCCGTCCAAAGTTGTCAGAATTTTTCACAATCAGAATGAGGTCCTTCAAAAAATTTATAGGGTTAGTGAAGTTGTGAACTTTTGGGGTAGAATCTAAACTCAATAGCTAGTGAGCTAGATGTTTTGTTGACTTTATGTCTGTATGAAGTGAGTGGCTTATTTAGCTGGCATGCAGTTTTCCTTCCATTTCGATACATTTCCTCTGTTCATCATTAGGAGTTTTTGGCTGATATGTTCTAATTTGCAGACTCACCATGATGGTCGAGGTTCTCCTGAGCATAACCTGGGAGTGTTACTGGTATATTGATATCTTTCCAACTGAGAGACATAATCTTTGTTTGTGCGAGACTCCTTATAACTGTTAATAAAACTTCCTAGCTTATCAGTGAGATTATTATGCAGCCTTCTAATAATAATCTGATCCGGTCTTGTGTATTCTTGTGAAACTTAGGTGAACTTTTTCGAAATGTATGGGTGCAAGTTAAATAATGTTGATGTTGGTGTATCTTGCAATGGTAGAGGCATTTTCTTCCCAAAAAGTATTAAAGGGTACGAGATGTTTGTATTGTTGTAAAAATGCTTTTCAGTTTTGGTTATAATTTGTTGAACTTTTTTTTTTTTTTTTTTTTNNNNTGTTGTTTACACATGTTTTTTTTGCTAATTATGGGCTGGTGTTTTCAGGTTTTCAGTTGACGGCCGGCCATTTCTTATCGCCATTGAGGACCCACAGGTTATAAATTGAAATTTGAATTGCTCTCTTTCTATTACCCAAAAGGCGCCCTCCTAAAATCGTGTAATTTGTCCTGTGGCATTGTGCATGACAGTAAATATTGTTGATTTCTCATGCCCAAATGTCTTGTAGTTGTCTATCAACCAACTCTTTTAAGCTTTGGTTGTTTTGTAGTGATAATTCGAAACTGCGTATAATTGATGTTCTCAATGAATTACAAAATGAAACGAGCATCTTTCTTGTACGAGTTAGTGAAGTATTTTGTGATTTACTGTTACATTTTTCTCTGAAAACAGGCTCCAGACAATGACATCGGCAAAAATTCTTTTAACTATTATCAGGTAAAGTTTTTCTTCAACATCTCTGTACGGCATGTTCCTTTTACCCTAGGTGCACTATCAACTCATATAAAGATGAGAATAGTAGGGTTTTAAATATATACTAAGCATACGAATTATATCCAAAGGGCGACCGAGACTGGGATATCCTTGCTCAATTTTTTTTGCTTCACTTATGGCTTGTTCTGTATTTTACCCCTTTCATAAGTTATAAAAAAAGGGAAAAAAAAATTCGGAAACTGTCCCGAGTCCTCACATTATTAAAACAAAAAGAACGACTACACTATCCTTGCTCAACTTTTTTTTTGTGTTTGTTTGTAAATTTTTCCAATTCATACTCAATCCATACTCGAAATCTAACTCAACTTTAACTCAATCCTAATATCCTCAATATTATCAATATAATTAGATAATAACAAAAACCATTTTTACACATCACATCAATTTTAATTTAATATTCATTTATTCACATAATTTTAATTAACCTTCACTTCATATATATACTTATATTGTTTCTCATACTTTTACATCAAATCAATTTTAATTATTTTATTTTAAGTATTATTTTAATATAAACTCAAAACTTGACCAACAATTAACCATACAAAATTTTTCAAAATTTATTAATATATTTTTTTTTTTTTTCAAAATTAACTCTGTTTAAATACTCTGATTGAAATTCGGCACCGTATGAAATTGTTTAATTTCCACTAGGGAAAATTGATCTAATATTCACCCGTTCTCTCCCGACTTATTGTATCCAACAGGCCAGGTCAGCATTTGCGATGGCATTCACCAAGCTAACCAACTCAAAGACCATAGCCCGACTCGGCCCGAACAAGAGCATCCTCAGTTCTATCATCAGGCCCGACGCCGTGCTTCTTGAACGAAAGGGCGGGCCCACCACCGGAAAGCTGGCTGTTGGGAACTTGTTCCCGGACACTTCTGGTCCAATGGACCAACCACTCGGCGACCGGCAGGATATGTACTGCAATTGGCCGTTGAACGATGAGGATGAGGAACTGCTGCCACGTGGAAACGGGACTCCTGTTAACAGTGAGGGAAAATCATCGGGAAAGAAAAGGAAAGCTCCCAAGGAGAAAAGATCGAGTAAGAAGTTGGCAAGAGCAGCACGTAGGGCCGAAGACAGGCATGATGAGAATGACAAATCTAATGGTTCTGGTGGCCGACGGCAGCATTCTCGGTGATTAGGGTTTTTTGGTCTTAAGAGCCATGAGTTAGTTACTTATGTTTCTGTACGAGGTAACTTCAACTGCACACCATTTTTTTTTTTTAATTTTTTCCCAAAGGAATTGGTGTTTTGGGTGAGTGTACTGTACGGTGTGTGTGTGTGTATGTTGTGGGTATTAGAACTACAAATCACTTGAAGAAAATTAATTGCTTGCCTTGAGATTGAACAAATCAACAAGGATGATAGTAAGAAAGAACACCCGACTTTGAAAATTCATGTAAAAAGGATAAAAATAATCGGACCTCAAAGAAATAAAAGAAATATTTTTTATGGATGGATGCCAATTTTCACCTATGGTAGTAGCTTAAAAACAAATCACCACCATACATTAACATTATCATAGATCCCGTGTAATGCACGGGGTGCACAATTTTAAAGTTATTTATCCAGCCTTATAATTATATACATGAATAAAGAAAAATGTATGAGAATGTATGGGATATATGTAATACGTGACCTGTGCGAGACACGGGATATATTTATTTGGAGAATATTATATTATAAGATGCAATATTCAATAAAGTTTTATAATACTCACAAAATTGTACAATAAAATAATATTCGATAAAAAAACAATCATATATTATTAAAAAACCTCATTGTACACAACATTATGAGTTAGAATATTGGACAACTCCTCATTCTTACAAATTAATATCTTCAACCCCCTTCTATTAGTTGCACTTTGAAAACATAGTGCTCCCATGCAGCATTATCTTAAAATCACGGGATGTCGAATGATACTTCCCTATATTAATGTCCACTTGATAATTTTTGATGCAAATGACCATGCCCTCCTCAAAGTTCTTCTCTCTAAACGCAACCAAGTTGATTGCCCGTAGCCATGCCGTAATGCAATTTCCCTAAACATATACGAAAAAGCAATCAATGAAAAAAATTATGTTTTCAAAACATAAAAAATGTATATTATATGTACACGAAAATATATGTTTGATATTTCTAAAAAAAAAGAAGTAAATATAATTTTGCTTACAGTTTTATCATGCAAAACCAACTCAAGATAGAATTTGTATGTGCTGCCCCAATCTTCGAGAAACATTCTTACAATTCAAACTTTAAGCATAGGTCTATTAGACTTATTAACTTGTTTGATTAAGTCAAATCCTTGATTCATTGTTATGAACGACACACTGATTGGGGATAATCTTTTGCGCATGAGGTTGAGAGAGGAACACGCTGATTCAATATTTGGAGATTTATAATTTATAATTGCATTATTGAATTATATGTAGAGAGAATGTCAAGGAAATAATATCAGATCATTACATGTAGGAACAAATCAGACCAGATATATATCGCATTATAATTTATAATTGTTTTTTTTTTTTAAAAAAAATTCATACAACAAAACGCTTAAATTTAGGAACAAATCTGATTTAATTTTAGAAGAAGTTTTTTTGTTGACCGATCTGTTTCATCCCGCCTAAATAATTAAAAGTTTAAAAAATTTGATTTAATTTTTGAATAATTTTTTTTTTTTTTTGACCGATCTTATCATCACGCATTAAAAAATGTTTTCCATCCAACAAAACACATCAATTTAAGAACAAATATGAGTTTAATTGAAAAATATTTCAAAAATATGATTAATTTTGGAATTTTTTTTATCGATCTTATCATCACGTATGAAAAAGATTTCCTATCCAACAAAATACTTCAATTTAAACAATCTGATTTAATTTTGAAGAAATTTTTCTTGTTGAACGATCTTATCATGAGAAATAAATAATACGTAATAAGTAATTAAAAAAAATATTGATGGAAATAGAAAGAATTAATTGTCATTGAATTTTCTACCTACTAAATTTAGTAAATATGATGACTTATTAGTGATCAATTATTTTATTTTTCTAAGCACATCACAGTTAATTGTTATTTATTACGTCATATTAATTCGTATTAAAATAATAATTATCAATTATTAGTTCATCAATGAAAAATAAAAAATCTAAAGTATATTGGATAATTATTAGTTCATCAAAGTATATCCAATTACAGACCAATGAATTAATATGCGACTTTAAATTTATGTCTTATAAAGTTGATCTGAATAGGTTGCAGCTACCTCAAAGCTCACAGACCATCACACCGATTTTTCCCGGGCGAAAATGCCGATCTGCAATCCCTCGTCTTCCTCTTCGTCATCATCTTCCAGCTCTAGCTACACGAAAGCCGCGATCATTCACACCGTGGCGGTTGGGGCCGCCGCCGTGCTTGTGCTCGGTGCCCATGCCTACTTTTTCTATCGCCGATCCGCCAAGTTCCGGAGCCGAGTCATCGGAATTATACCCGCGCGGTATGCTTCCTCTCGCTTCCAGGGCAAGCCTCTAGTGCAAATCCTCGGCAAGCCCATGATCCAGGTCTAATTTTCAGCCTGCCCTTCTACTTTGTTGTATTTTTACTTTTCTTTTTAATTTTACTCTTTCGTGTCCATGAGAAGTTGCGACTGCCTTCTTGTAATTTTTGAACTCGTTGATGCTTTTTAACTGAGTAATTTGTTTATCTATGGGTTTGATTCGTACTTCGATTTTTGAACTGGTTGATGCTTTGAATTATGATCCAGAGAACATGGGAAAGAGCAAAAATGGCAGCAACGTTGGAACACGTTGGTATACCCTCGCGTCGACTGGCTTCTCTTTATCTGGACATTTAGAAACTTTATCCATTTTCATTCATTGTAGTTTTTGATAGTTTTGGATTGATAACTTGGCAATTTTATTAATACTCATGTAGTTGTGGCAACTGACGATGATAAGATTGCTGAGTGCTGTAGAGGATTCGGTGCTGATGTTGTAATGACATCCGAATCGTGTCAAAATGGTACCTGTCGATCTGTGCTTTAATGTTCTGCGAATCACATGATGTTCTGTAGTAGATTTTTGTTTAAGGTTCTTATTTGGAGCTGTTTATAGGCACCGAGCGGTGTAATGAAGCACTTCAGAAGCTTGGTAAGAAATATGATGTTGTTGTCAATATTCAGGGGGATGAGCCGCTTATAGATCCTGAAATCATCGATGGCATTGTCAAGGCCCTCCAGGTAAATTATTAACATTTTTTTTTCATTGAGGATCGACTTATTCAGATGGTTGGTTTGTTCATTGTTGTAACTTGTATGTTAGTTTCTGCTTTTCAGTCATTGATTTTGCTTCCATATTGCCCAGTGGATTCATTATGGTATCTTGGTCTTGAATTTGTTTGGTGTCTAATGACTTCAGGTGAATAGATCATGAGATTGTTGTGCAACATGGGATTCATCATGCTTTTAACGAACATTTCTCTTAGAAAAATTGCCCGTTTGTTGAGGATGATATCCCAATGTTAAAAGGTCAATCTAGAAATTATAGTAGTTTTCATCTAATTATGTAATATGAAAATGTAAAGAACACGTAGTATCCGCATATTTGACACTGGAGGTGTTGTAATGGATGTATTAGAAATTAGCGTTTATAATGTATTTTGTTTTGTTTGGTGGAGCTATAACTGTTAACATTTGTATGTATTCTATCTGTAAACTACCATATACATGTGAATAGACCAGATCCTGACTTTAAGTTTAACATGCGGAACATTTATCTAACACTTAACTGAATACTTTTGCTTCCCAACAGGCGTACTCTTCATTTCTGTTTTTGTTATGAGCATTTAGGAACCACATCTAACTACCTTATATATTAGTTCGGAAATAGTTTTCGATTTCGGAAAAATTATTTGTGCTCGACTCGAAAATACTAACATCAAAACTGTGAATCGTGCAGGCCTCTCCAGATGCAGTGTTTAGCACAGCAGTTACTTCTCTAAAACCGGAAGATGCTTTCGATCCAAATCGTGTCAAATGTGTGGTGGATAACCGTGGCTATGCGATTTATTTTTCGAGAGGACTTATACCATTTAACAAGTTAGTTATCCTACATTAACATCCCATTTGCTGTACTGTGTATGTATCTAACAAGGGACCTTCTTGCAAGGCAAGACTTAATGAACTTCAAAGTATGCAGGTCTGGTAATGTGAACCCTCAATTTCCATATTTACTTCATCTGGGAATTCAGGTACTAAACCACATAATTGCAGTGTTTTAACGTGCTCCTCGCAATTGGTCTGCGAAGTGGATTCTAATTGACGAAGTTCGTGTGTTTGTTTGACAGAGCTTTGACACGAAGTTTCTCAAGATATACCCCGAGCTTCCACCAACTCCACTACAGCTAGAAGAAGATTTGGAACAGCTGAAGGTCCTTGAAAATGGATACAAAATGAAGGTGCGTATATAAATTTCTGGCCGTGTTCATTAAATGACCTTGATGCTTATTACAGTTATTTTAATTAAAAAAAAAAGGTTTTGATTTAGGATAAATTGCAGAAAGAAACAAAACACCTATAAAAACTTGCGTAATCGCCAGAACCCGAGCTATCTTTCGGAAATGCAAAGTTCAATAAGGGTTTATTTTGTAATTTTTGTTGGGTCAAATTATGTGTAAATTTTCGGGAAGCCCTTGATCATAAGTGTTGAACAAGAAGTATGTCGAGCTTTCTCAACATTACAAGGGCTTCCCGAAAATTTACACATACTGTCACGAAGGGAATAAATAAACCAATCAGTTCATTCCACTACAGGTTATAAAAGTCGATCATGAGGCCCACGGTGTTGATGTTCCAGAAGACGTAGATAAAATCGAGCAGTACATGCGTGAAAGAAACCTGCATTAGTGCCACAATTTCTTGTGGCCCATACAATAGGATTCTGTTCAAATGTTTTAGTTCAAATACAAACTCTGGTTCATTTTAAGTTATGTACATTTTGCCTGTAATTTATTGCTATATGAGTGTAACACCAGTCTGTTTGTTCCAACTTCTAAGACAGTACTTAAAAAAGGTTAGATAGGTCAAATCCTATCATACATTTTGAATAAAAATGTATATTTATAGACTAAATGTTTTGTATTTTTTTTCTAAATTATGTTTATTGTATGTAAAATAATGTATATTCAATAAAAAATGTAAATTATTATCTAACAATTTATTTTAAAAGGAATTGTGTGGAATGAAGACAAAGGCATGATTGGTTTTCTGATCAAAGCCCAGTAAAGATTATTATTAGGTGCGAATTTTGCGTGTAAAAATGGAGAAAAAACATATTGCGTCAATCCACATTTCCCGAATTTGATATCTCCTCTGCAAATTTCATTTAAAAATCCGTACACTTTTTTTGTTTTTTTTTTTTTGCAATGTTCTTTAGGAGTTAGGTAGATAGGGACCATAAATAAATATTGTTAATTCATGAATACTAAAAAATAAATAAAAAAATTGCTGATTGGAACTTGGGAATTTGAAAATCACAATTACCGGAGGAAGGGCACTAAAAACCAATATGAAAGGCCTTTATCCGGCGTGTTCCACTTTATAATAATCACATCCTTTCATTCTACATTAATATTTGAAAATGGTCTATGATACAATTTATATTTTGAATCTTACACAATGATAACAAAACAACTTTTTTTTTTTCTCTTATTATTGTATATCACACGTATATGGCTATGATGTTCCTACAATGTAATTAGAGAGAGATAAAAAAAAGTTGAGATTTGAAATTGGGTTCGGCTCGATTTGTCTAGTTAATGAGAGAAGAGGAGTTTTTACGTGATTTTTTCAAAATTTTATCATAGACTAACTTGTGTAGACTTGAGTTGAATTTGAGCTCGTTTATAGTATCGGCTCGAGCCCTCAACTCGACTCGTTGACACCTCTAAATACTTGAGTTGAATTCGAGCTCGTTTTTAAACCAAATGCAATTAAGAACATTAACCTTGTAAAAGAATCAGCACAAGAAAGGAAATTAGACAAGGGAAAAGGCAGGCATTGAAAATTAAAACTTTGAGTAATAAATCACTAAATTGTAAATTCTAATAGTCATTTCATTACTCGTCCACATACACACGAAGGGGCAATTTGAAAAGAAGCTCTCAAAATTTCTAATAAGTCTTCAATGTTTTGGTGATGGGTGAGTGATGACATGAACCTGAGTCTTGAAAAGCAGGAAAAAAAGCGAGTCAACCGAGAAATACACGAACCCACCGGGCGAGTGAGTCACGAACGACCCAAAACTCTTCCCGGCCACGCAGTGCCAAGCAGGCCCGTACACCGAGTCAAATTCCTGTCCACCCAATCAACTCAATTAACAAAAGCTATTTCTTTTTTTTTTCTTTTTTTTTTTTATCACAAGTAATAATAAGATTGTCTAAAATTGTTAAACGAAAAGAGCCGCTCATGAGATCAGCCGAGCTCGGCTCTCAAGCGAGCCAAACTCGTTTAAATTTTAGTTAACAAGCCCGACTCCACTTGGCTCCGATTTTTTTTATTATGTACAATTTTATATAGTTGGGCTCGTTAATATTTTTCACCTTTGGATCACAGGTGAAATTTATAGTATCAACACATATTAAAATGATATTATATTGAAAAGTACCTTTTTGAGTGAGCGCGCGAGGAAGGTGGGGTTGGGCCGGTGGCCGGCGGCGGGGCAGTCGAGGAGGGCCCGGGCGTGACGGAGGGCGCGCTCCTGCATGGCAGCGGGCATGTTGGCGGCCCTCAGCCGAGCGCGGAGGCCGACAGCAAGGGCAGCCAGCCTCACCTCCTCCTTCTGCCGGAGGAGCCTCGGCGCCGCCGCCAGGGAGTTCGGCCCTATCGGCCGCTTGCTTTCCGGGTCGTGATTTCGCGCGATCTCTGCCATATGAACCGTGCGGAGGTCGACGTCGTTGGGAAAGAGAGAAGAAAAGGTTTTGACTTGTGTGTGAAAAATAAGAATGTTCAAAGGGAAGCCAAATTTATGTTTGAAATTTTTAGTACTCGTTTTTCGTATGTGTGTGTTTTTGTGTGTGTGTGTGTGAGAGAGAGAGAGAGAGAGAGAGAGAGAGAGAGAGAGAGAGAGAGACGTGGAGTGGTTGGACACTTGGAAAAGAAAAAAGGCAACTGTACTTTTGAACATTGACTGACAAATATTTCCTCCAATAGCCAAAAGATTATTACACAAACAAAGAAAAAAAATATATACCTTATGAGAAAATTATAATAAAATTAGGACATTGTTCTCGAGGAGGATTCTCTATCAATAATAAGTGACTACACCACGATATTATTGGGGTCTGTATCCCCACACGTACCAATTCGAGAGTCCAACTTTGTTGCAGATTGCATTGCGAAAGTCGCTACAAGGAGTCTGGAGGGATTCCAATCTTTCGAAATCGCACAAGATGAGATTCGAGAATAGTTACACCACGATATTGTTGGGGTCTCGTACCCTCGACCGTACAGATTTCCGTTACTTAGGCATTAGCCTCTCATTTTGTACCAAAAAAAAAATGGGGGTGTCTATATGTACACCCCCTTGTGTGTAAAAAAGGGGTGTACATATAGCATTGCCCTTTGTGTAATTTATTAAAAATGGGTGTACATATAGCATTGCCCAAAAAAATAAGTGACTGTTTTTATAGTGTGGGACCTATTGATCAATATCAATTTAATCACAATTTTTTATTTCGTTTTAAATATATTTATTTGTTTTTAAGCAGATTAAGGTACAATTTTAATTTTTCTTCTTGTAACTTTAGGTAGGGACACAGGTTCAAATGTCTGCTGATTGATGCCTCTGTTAATATTATTTTAATATGATTTTACTTGTAAATAAAAAAATAATTTTATATTTATCTATTACATAATATATTAAATAGAGTTTTGATGGTCACGTGTGAGTGAACTTCTTCTAGCTTTACATTTCATGGTATGTGCTTTAATTGCAGAAAAAAAAAGTGCATTAAATTGTCGAAATTAAAAATTTATGCTTACATTGTAATTGAAGTAAAAATTATGATTTATTTTACAAGTAAGCCTTTAAAATTCTCAATTTAATTAGGAATAAGTTAATAAATTTTGAGATATAAAGGAATTAAACTTGAGGAATTTACATCCCATACTATCTTATTTAATTTATATAACACTTTTGTTACCCTTTTATTTTTATTTATAAAATTGCCTAAAGATCTACAAAATATTGCAAATATACTTGATATGGTGAGATTTACTTACCAAATAAATCGGATGACTTAATTATCTCTCACCCTCAAAAAATGCGTTCATCATCTCTCTTGCTCTCCTTCTCTTCCTTCTCTCTTCTTCAAAAGCACCAGAGACAACGCCCGTGCCCCTCCCTCTCTCCTCCGGCGACCGAACAAGAAAACTCATCGGAATCCTAATTTGAACCCTAAACTACCCAGTTGGAATCACCCGTCGAGGTGAGAACAAAAGAGCAATTGTAGTGTTTGCATAGAGTAAGTAGTTACAATAAAAAAAATTGTTTCAGATTTTTTTTTTCTCATTATTTTTATCATTTTGCATGAAATTATCTTGATGTTTGGGTGGTTTGCAGGTACCATTTGTACATGGACGAGGATATCTTGGGCACTTTGCACGATTGATTGATCTGTCAGTTGAACTTATTATGATGTTAGAACTGTGGATTGATGCTTGTTGGGTTAATGAAATTTTGATTTGATCTGTTGTGGATCAATTTGAGATTTCAAGTATGGTTTGATATTGCAAAATTTTGTCATGATTCTACTACATCTCATTTAGGGGCGTGAGGAATTATGGACTGGAAGACATTTATTTGGGAGGCAAATATTTGCACAACAGAGCAAATGAAACTATGGTAGCACGAAATTAAACTATTTTTTTTTTGTTTTTTTTTAATTAGTATCTTTGCCTGGGTTTAGTAAATGTCCATAAATTGTTTTCTTTCACCCTGTAATTGGAACTTTGCAGTTTTGTATGGTTTATTTTTAGTATATTTTCGGTATATCTTTTATCCCCTCATATTGTTATCGTGTTTGTATCGTTTCCCCCTGTTATATATATGGTTTATATTATGTATATCTTCGCTATATGTATAGTTTATATTTAGTAAAATCATGGAAAACATATACAATACATATACCATCATTACGGTTTGTATTGTAAGTATATATACCGACATTATATTTTATATATTCATTATATATACCATGATTATGCTTTATATTTACTATAATCATTGAAATATATACAACACATACACCAATATTTTTTGATGGTATATTTTATGTATATATATTAAACATATACTGAATATATACTGGTATAAACGCTTTATATACTCACCCTGGACACCTGTATGAATTACAATACATGTTTTTTTTTTTCTTTTTTGTATTTGTAATGGAATATACACGACAATTAAGGGTGGAGCGTTTTATTTGTATGGTTATTCATGGTTTATAGTTAGTATATTTTCAGTATATTTTCGGTATATTCTCAAAAGTGCAATATTTAAAAAAAAAAACGATATATATATATATATCATTAAAAAACGATTAAAATAAACTATATATATACCATTAAAAAATTGTATATATACCCTTAAAAATCTGGAGAACCCATTTAATGAATTATCAAAGATAAAAAAAATATAAAATAAAAAAATGAATCCATTTTTTTAGGTTGAAATGGATATAGTAACTACCTTTTTAGGCATTAATGTAGTCAAATATGGTCTTAAACAACAGAAATCAAGGGATTGAGGTTGTAATGGATATGGTAACTTCTTTTAGGCATTGATGTAATTAAATGTGGTCTTTTAAGTAAAGACATAATTAATTATATTTGTATAATAGAGTTGTAAATATTTATAAATCAAGTAGGAGATATGAAAATTTCCCATTAAACTTTGAGGCTGGCAACATGAGACTGACCTGTCTTAAGTCTTAACACTTACATATGGGCTTCACCCAAATGTTCAATCAAGTAACAAACAGGCTTAAACTCACAGATTGACAATTTATCGAGGCTGGGCAGGAAACTACGGGCCTAAGCCCAATTTCCAGTCCAAAGGCCCATACATCAGCTCCACGTGAGGGGCACGTGACTCGGGCAACAGTCTCTCTCTCATCCAATCGGTAGAGAACATCCTCTAAAACCAAAACCAGACAAACTCAACTCCACCACTCTTTTTCTTCTACTAATCAACACCATTTACGGATTTAATTATCTGCGCATCAGTTTCGCAATCACACACGCGCGCGCGTACTGTACTCTCTCTACGCCGGCTCGTTGATATGTCCGCCATGGCAGCTGTTTTGCAAACGCTGGTCGTCCCACGCGCCTCCGCTGTTCCGTCGGCGTCCCTGGCTCCGGCGGACGGATCCTCCGTTTCTATCCGTGGCTCCCTCGGGTTCTCGGGTTTCAGAGGGGTTAAGGTCCTGACAGCGCGGTCAACGGCTCCGGTGGGGTCGAGATCGAAGCTCGGCCGCTTTGGTGGACGAATTGTCTGTGAGGCACAGGAAGCAGCTCTCGAAGGTAATTTTATCGGTGTCTGGTTGTTTTCTGACGAAACAAGTGTTCTTTTTTTTTTTTTTTCGTTTTTGATGATTGAGCTTTTGTGTTGGAACCATTTTTCAGTGTGTTGTGTGGGATTGAGATGTGATTGGGAGATTGCTAGAACTATGAGAATGCATAGAGTAGAGAAGAGAAAAAAATATCTGTTTTTCATTGATCCTAATAGTGAGATTACATCCAATATATAGAGGTTGCACATCCAAAATTAAACCAAATCAAATCAAATAAAATCAAATCAAATATATAACTACCAAAATTAGCTTAATAGAGATGGATGGATCTCGTGTTTTGGTTAGATTACATTGTAATATGAACTCATAATCCATGGGAAAGACAATGAAAATAGCTGTTATCATGTTTAATTTGTGTTAGTATCTACGGGGTTATAAGGTCAATTACTATGGAAAATTCAGTCCTGGGGTTTTAACTGTTGTATCACACACACTCATACACACCCACATGGTTGTTTGTGATTCAACGGTTAAAAACCCGGCGAGGGCATGTCGGCACGAATTTAGCCTATTTTATGGTGTAGGATGTTTTCAAATTTGTTGGCAATTTTAACTTCAAAGAGTTGATTAGGCTAATTATATACTGGTTCAAAAGTCCTAAACCCCAGTGACTGAGTCGATACTCTACCATTACCTCGACTAATTTTATGGCTATGGCTTCACCTTTGTGTTTGAAGTAATGGGATTTTGAGCGAGTTGATTTGTATGTATTTCCTGTAATGTATATAAAGGAAAAAGTTGAGATGCTACAATCACTTGAGCCATGTAAGTGGTCACTTTTGACATAGTCTGTTCAGTGCGAATCTCATTTATTTCTTTTATGAAATCAATCTCATATGAAGCAATAACTTTATTGGAATATCCTATTACAAAAAACTATGTTTGAGAATTGGGATGCTGCTTTTGGCATGCCTATTGAATCAGTGTTAGTCGCATTTATTTCTTTTATGCAAATATACATCCATCAGTGAACAATATTTGTTATCACAAGGTGAAGCTATTTTGTAAGAAACTATCATTGTTGGAATCTTCGACCAGTCAGCTTGTGTCCTTCAAGATGCCACTTTATTCACGTTGTTTGAACGACAATTCAGAACACATGGTTTGGTATTTGCTTTTAACTTCACTTTGTCGATGCACTTAATGTCATGGTTTTAAATCGCATACATCAAATTCATTGAGGGCTGGTAGACACAATTTAGTCTATTACTATGCCGTGGGATGTTCTCATATTAGTTGGCATATTTAATTTCAAGAACTTGATTAAGCTATTGATGCACTGGTTCCAAAGTCCTAAAATCACACTGACCGAGTCGATACTGTATAATTACCTTGACCAATTTTATTGCTATGGCTTCATTTATATTTTTAATGGAAATAGACATCCATCAGTGAACAATATTCCTTATCACATGGTGAAGCAATTTTGTGAAGAAATATCTTTGTTGGAATCTTCGACCGGTTACCTTGTGTTCTTCGAGATTCCCACTTTACTCACACTGTTTGAATGACAAATTCAGAAACATAGTTCAGCATTTGCTTTAGCTTCACTCTGTCGATGCACTTAATGTCATGGATTTGAAATCCCTTGCATCAAATTCATTGAAGTTGTTTAGATTTATATATAGATTGATAGATTCCATTGCTATTGTAATTATTTTGGAAGATTTTAAAATCCATCTTCTGATCAGTTATTTTAAATTCCTTCCTGCAAATCCTTCTCCCAATATCCATGTTTTGTAATCCAAAAGCCACGTTTCCCTGAGAAGGCCTTGAACTCTTATGTGGTCAGATAGTCCTTACCTTACTGTTATGTGCTATTGTTCTTAATTTTCTTGCCAGGTGCAGCTTGTTATGAACGTAAATATGCATAAGATGTTGAATACTTTTCTTTCTATCTAAATGATGATTCTCCGAAAGCAGTTTGCGCTTTTTCAAACTTCCATTAGTTGATTTTTAGCAATTCAAAACATTCTTGCAAAAACACTATTATGATTCTAAATTGACCGGTTCACATTATTTGATTGGAAAATCCAGTGCCTGCCGTTACTGATGCCAACTGGCAGTCCAACGTGCTTCAGTCCGATTTGCCCGTTTTGGTCGAATTCTGGGCTCCTTGGTGTGGGCCATGCCGCATGATCCACCCGGTGGTCGATAAACTGGCCAAACAATATGCAGGGAAACTGAAATGCTACAAAGTCAACACAGACGAGAGCCCCTCGGTTGCTACTCAGTACGGGATTCGGAGCATCCCTACCGTCATAATATTCAAAAACGGAGAGAAGAAAGAAGCAGTCATTGGTGCAGTCCCCGAGACAACATTGATAACCTGCATCGAAAAATTCTTATGAAAAATAAGAAAAGGTGAGTGTATAAACTTATGTTTTCTGGGGAATCAAACTGTATCTTGTTGCTTTTACCTTTTGCCTTTTACCTTTTAGCTCTTGACATGTGCGGAATGTTTCGAGTAAAACTTGTGAACCTCATGTATAGTTTGAAGTGCTGTGCTCTAATGTTCTATCCAGATTCTTGCTAGTCATTAAGTTATTTCCACTTCACTTTAGGATACGCGTAATCTTTGTTTACCGAGGTTTGTACTTTGTAGTATCGATAACAAAACCTTGCTTAATTTTGAAAATCAGAAAACCCACCCTTTAGCTTATGTTTGTTTATATGTCTGCACCAACAATTAATTTGACTTGGCTGATTCATCAAGTATAGCACATATGGGCCTCTCTACTTTTTTCAAGATATTACAGATAGCCCCCATTTTTTGGATATCCCTTTGTATCATTTGTGAAAAGTTGTTATTCGTAATACTTGTCAGCACCTTATGGTTTTTGTATTTTTCAGAGTTATTCTTTTTGTAAATATTTTGAACCTCAAGGGGTGCGTTTGAATTTGTACACATTATTTGTCTCTTTATTTATTGATCTAATTAGTGTTGTTTCTTCAGCAATTGGTACTAGTGAGACCTTTCTTTTTTCACCCCACTATGAAAATATATTAAGTTTTTCACACCGCCGTTTGGTAATTTAACTTTTTCACTCCAGAAAGTGTCAAGGCACAATGACATTGTGCGATTAATATGAGACAATTGTGCGATGAATATGCGACAGAACGAGGTCCATTCGCACAACTCTTCGTATTTTTTGGATTGACAAAGTTAAAGTTTGAAGACATTGTGCGATAAATATGCGATAACTATGCAATTGATAAATTGATATATGATAGTTATGTGGTCCATTCTTATAACTTTTGCACACCATAAAAAGTTAACTATCAACCGGTGATGTGAAAAATTTAATACAGAAAAAGATGTTTTTCCATCGGTAAATATACCCTTTTCTCCCACTTATTACTGCGAATTTGACAGCAAACCAAAACGCGGTGCTTCTTGTTTTAGGCTTTAGCCACAAAATTTTTCTAAGGTAATAAATGTACTACCTTTGAAATAACATGCATGTTTTGTTGTTGTTATTTTTTATTTATTTATTTTTTAATATATTAAATAACATGCATGTTGGAATACCATATGGTTTACTTGATAAGCATAAGTGTGTGTTGGGCTGGCTTGGGTTGAATGAACGAATATAGAGGTGGCAAGGGTCGACTCCGCCTGCCGAACCACCCCAGAACTGCCCCGATCGTACGGGTCTTGAAACTGGACCCGCGATAAAACCAGGCTGGTTCGGGGTCATGGTTTTTCTTTTTTTGACCCGTCAGTTCCAGGTTGTAGTTATTTTTTTTTTTCTTAAAAAAAAATTCAGGTGAACCGGCCCTTAGATATAGCAGCTTTGGAGGTCCGGCGACCTGCTGGGCCGGGCCGGGTTGTGAACCGGCCCGCCATTCGGCCACCCCTATGAATACCTTTCCTATCGATGGTGTTAGGTTTATTCATAAATATTGAAGTCATTTATGTGTACCGATGGTTTTGTAGTATGGCAGCACATCATCATTCCAAACCGTTCAGACAATTCATATTTTCGCAACAACATTTGTGGTTAACAAATGACATTTCATTAGTGTAATCATATAGATATTTATAGAAAATAGTTAAATCTGACTAACAATAACAAATGACCTTATTGATATAGTCAAGCTATCGGATCACGCACACATAATACTTTGCAAGTGTATATTGATATACTATTAAAAAAAAATCAATGTTGTCACTTCCCACATAAGTAGAATCGAAATTTCACATACTCTATAGATGTACATTGACCTGACATTATAAAACTCAATGTATAAATAGGACTCACCCAAAATTAATTTGTATGGAGTCCTATAGAGAAGCATGAGAGATTCTACAGTCCCGTTACGGAACAATTCGTTGGGATTTGTAACCGTTAGATTAATTATCCACGACGCTTACATGATGATCTAACGATTACAATTCCGACAAAAATAGTTCCGTAACGGAACTGTAGCATTTCCCATAGTCATAATCCTCAACTCGGCAACTTGTTTGAACAGTCGTGAAAACGATAAAAGACATTCTTTACTTGATCTTTATCCAATCCTATCTAATACAAACATGCTTCTTGGGTGCGCACTATATATATTCGAAAGAATTTACAGACAAGATATAATGGAAAGCAAATCTTGTCAAGTATTTCTAGAGACAAATTTCAATGGTTTTAATTCAAGTTTCAATCGTTTTAATTCAATGGTTAATGCAATCATAACTAAATTATTGGTATATTGAAAAGCAAGAAAAAAATTGGATAAACAAAAGCTCAGTTAATTTAAACTACAAATTAACTAATAAATTTCTTGATATATTTATATTTTTCTTTTATTAATTAATAAAAGTATTGTTTTCCAATCTTTTTTTTAAGAGGATCAATAGTGGTTCTCCACTTACCCCTGAATGACTCGAACTCGTGACCTCTTTGGTCTCAAGTGAGGGGTGCTACCACTTAGCTACGCCCTTCTTGTCATAATATATATATATATATATATATCCTTTTGTTTACGTGTTGTTGACACATATATATCTGAAGTGATTTACAAGTAATTAGATGGATAATTAACTGTTGATGGGGTCTTAAATTTCACAATCAATCTATTCTTTGTTGGACACCACTCAACTTAATGTTAACGATAAGAATTATACTACATCATATTCCCTCCAATAAAATATTGTTTTTTTTTTTTTTTTTTAATTAAGTTGACACAAAGACAAATGGCCACCACATATATAATTATTTGACTTGTTAGATTATGTTAATTGATACCCTAAAGTAAATAAATATTGCATAAACGATAAACACGAACTCCATTAATTAATTGTTTGAATTACTTCTACATTAAGATTATATAAGTAATAATGATGATTAAGCAAATTAAAATTAATTAAAACAATATAAAATGTACGTATAGTTACAATATATTTTGTTAATAAAATGTGTATATATCTATAAGTATTTTGTTGATAAAATTATGATATTTTTGTATAAATTATGTAAATTAATTTATTAAAAAAAAAAAGTAACTAAAAATGCTTTTTACACAAATATGTATATTCTCACTCGAAAATGCAACATACTAAAAAATATGACATTGGATAATATAAGTATGCACTTTTGTTGACAGACGATGTATAACATATATTAAACATAAATATATCAATTGAAAAATAATTTTATTTTTCTAATGAATTTTAATAAATATTATTATTTATTATTATTATAATGATAAATATAATATATTTATTTCATATATACAATATGGATGTCAAATCTAAGATCATCAAAAGATGATTAATTTGATATATTATATATGTAAAACCGATAATAAATACAAAAGTTATACAAAGAAATAAAGGGTTATATTAGTACAAATGATATTAAAATACCTAAGTTAGCTAAATAATATTTATGGAATGTCCAAACTTAAATTATTAATTATTAATATATCAATATTATTTGTCCAAACCTAATTACGAAGCATGGTTCTTTGCCAAGTAGGATTCCGAAGCACCAGAAGCAGCCACGTAGGCTCAGCGCATTCGTGAATAATATAGGGAGGATTTGTGATTTACAAATAATTCAAATAATGTAACACTAAATTTTCACTCGGTCAATTTTTTTCAATTTTAACTCATTTTATCTAATAAATCAAAGTCTCCTAAACTTTTATATCTAATCTCACTTGGTTGATCAATAGTTTAATCAACTCAATCTCACTCCTTAATTAATCTATCATTAGTTTCCTTGCACAATATGCCCAACAAAATAAAATAAATGTATCAATAAATGACAAACAATAGGACCCACTGGTTGTTGATGGCTGTAGCCTGTAGGTGTCTTATTAAACAAAAGTCAACAACTTTACAGTTTACATTCAATTAATTCATATATTCTATTAAAAAAAAAAAAAAAACATTTGATGCTTGCATAGTTGTATGTAGGTACTAAAACAAATTCAACAATCCTTCAAATAAAAAAAAATAAAAAAAAAATAAATAAATCAATAATAAAACAAGTGAATCTATATATATATAATTACTAGCCAATAGCATTTAATAAAACCTAATTAAGTTTACCTATGTGGCAATTGAATATTTTTCCTGATGTAGGGGAAGCGTGAACGAACGGGAAGATAAAAGGAGATACTCTCTCCAGAAAACGGGATACTCTCCCAAAAGAAACACGATCAATTCATGTTCTCATTCATCAAATTCTGCTATCTCACACAGCATAAGAATTCTTTAAATAAACCTCACAAACTAAACCTAGCTTATTCTCTAAGCTACTACTAATTATTAAATAATAATAATAATAATAATAATACTTATATCTATTCTGCATCGTTCTCCCCCGGTTGAGCAGGATTCGCCCTCGAATCCGAGCCGTTCCCGTTGGAGAAGTGTTTCCCGCTTCGTCCTCGATCGAACACGAAACTTGAAGAACGCCCAACAACACCGAAGGGAAACATAAGCTTGGGCAAGGGTTGAATTGCTGCAAAAGCACATGCACAGGTCGCCAGACGCATAACCCACACATCCGAAAGAGCAACAAACATAACACCACGTTCGTCGCGTCCAAATCTAAAATTACGGCCAACATCCCCGTTGATGGGACATTTCGCGATACACAATTGAAAAACGGACGACAAGTTATTCAACCTCGTCGTCGGCTCCCAAAAACCATCGTTGGCCAAGATACGCCCTAAATCGGGTCCGACCGCTAGCCGCGTAATCGATAGTTCAACCTCCGCGTCCTTCAACGTTGGACCCATGTCGTCGCAAATACGCGACCCCGTCATCGGAGACTCCTCATCAAAAACGGGCGGACCGTCGTAAATGGGCCCGTCAATGTGATCCTCGTCGAAGTCAAGAATG